CGGCTAGCGGCGGCGCGGGCGGGGCGCTCGGGGCGGCTAGGGTTCGGGGGTGGCGGCTGGGCCTCGGGTTGGCTCCCCCCCGGCTTATAAAGCCTTGGCGAGCCGGAGTCCCGGTCGGACACGGACCGTAGGTCAGTTCGTTTTTTTAATAATTACACGCAGAAGAAAAATAAAAAAAATATTAACGGACTCCAAAAATTCCGAAATAAATTTTCCCGTGCTTCTAAAATCAAACCGCACCACGTGAACATTTATTTGGGGCCTAAATGCAATTTTGGAAAACACGCATTTTTCCTAAATTCAAATAAAATAAAAAAAACTCCAAAATAAAATGTTATTTGATTTTATTATTAAATCCTCCCTATTTCTTTATTTTGGGAAATTCATTTTATTCCCTCTCTCATATTTTTTGTAATAGACATATTGATGATAAAATAATAAAAATCAAATGATCCTATTCTCAAAACTTGAGAAAACTCAAATATGAGAATAAAGAATTTCCAACTCTCTCTGTGGGTCCTTGAGTTGCGTAGAAATTTCTAGGATCAAACCAGGAGCAAAACAAAATATGATATGCAATGATGATCTAATTTATAACATTCCAAATTGAAAATTTGGGATGTTACACCTATAGACATGTGCCTCTTCTATGTGACAATGAAAGTGCCATCAATATTGCTGAGAACCGCAAAGATCATACCTGCACCAAGCACATTGATATTAGGTATCACTTCTTGAGAGATCATGTGGAAAAGGGGGATATTGATATTGCTCATGTTGGGACATATATGCAACTTGTAGATATTTTCACAAAGCCATTGGATGAAGCAAGGTTTTGTCAACTTAGGCGTGAACTTGGTATCTTAGAGCTTGACAACAGTATGTGAAAACTAGTACCCATGCATGCATTGTCATAATGTCTTGTCTTGATGTAGGCATATATTTAAGGGGAGACACTCAACTAATGAGTACTCTCACCCTATGAAATGCATAAAAAGAACAAACACTCTCAAGGCTATCATGTTATTCTAACTATGGATCTTTCTATGATGGAGTAGTGATTATGCACCCAAAGTTCCATTCTTTGCGGAGCCATGCCACGTATACTCATACATGGTGGCCGTAGCCACTGCTCTTGTCACTAGAACAATATATGAGCGGTATGTGTTTTGGTGTTGTTGTTGTTGTATTGTCATAGGTTACTCACTACTTGATATTATACCAATTCATCATTGTCATCATCATCTCCCCCCTTGTCATCATCTAAATTTTTACAGAAAAGTTTTGTGCGTCGGTCGTCCGGTACTGTTCGGACGTCCGTAAAAAGCTCTCTGTTACCTTGGGTCGGGACGTCCGGTCTATCCGGTCGTCCGTTAATTCCTCCCCTGGCTTGGGCATTCTCAGGCACCGGACGTCCGAAGAAATCCGGTCGTCCGTTAATTCTTCTCTGGCTCAGGCACCGGACGTCCGTAGGACACTGGTCTTCCGGGACTTTCTCAGGCACCGGACGACCGAAGAACTCCGGTCGTCCGTTAATTCCTCTCTGGCTCAGGCACCGGACGTCCGTAAAACTCCGGTCGTCTGGGACTTTCTCGGGCACCTATATATGGGCAGTTTGATTATTTGCCACCCCTTACTTGGTACATTGACTATTTGCCACTTTTTACTTTGTATTTGATCTGATGACACTTTTTACCTGGGTGTTTGTTATTTTGCCCTCTGTCATATGGGTCCCACAAAAAAAGACATACTTGCCATTACATCTCAATTGACCAGAACAGAGGAGCTCGTTCTCATCCCCCTCTCGCTCACGAACGCAGGCGACAGACGACAGCGGCTACTGGACGACGGCGATGGCCCTGGGATACTCGACTGCGGCGGCCCTGGCGAGTCCCTCTCTCCTGCTCCCTCCCTCTCTCGGGCTCATCTCGCCGACGGAGCCCCTAGGGTTAGGGCAGGCGGCGCAGCGGCGAGGCGGCCAACCCTAGGGTTAGGGCAGGCGGCGCGGCAGCAAGGCGGTCGGCCCTAGGGTTAGGGCAGGCGGCGCGGCGGCGAGGCAGCTTCTGGCTTGGTTGTGGCCATGATGTGCCACTGCTGCTTGTGTGCTTCTGCTGCCGCCGTTATGTGCTGTACAGGAGCAAGTTGACCCTGTTAATGTTTTAAGTTGTTCTGTACACGAGCTGCTTACTTTGTTGTATATCTCATGTTTGCTTGATTTCTTGCTGTTGCAGACCACATAACTCAGATGAGCTAGGTGTTGGAGATGGCTGAACTAGAGAGGGGTGAGCACGTTGTTGGGGACGGCTTCGACTTCCCTTCTTTGTTTGTTCCCGAGCCGAGGTGAGAAAGCAAAGTAGCTTCTTTTTGGTGCTCATCTGAATGCACGTTAGTGAACAGACGCTAACTCCATCGTATGTTGTTCGTTATTGGTCATTGTCGAGTAGGCCGCATCGGCCGCCGCTGGTGTTCACATTAACTATTAGAGTAGCTCCTTATGTCTACAAGCTTGATGATGGAAGCGAGCAAGTTGTTGACAAGCATGACATTGTGTTTGATTTTAACATTTCCGGTATGTCATGGGTTAGCTTCAATGAAGCTGTGGCACAACATATCAAAATGGGGATTGGCCAAGAGGTGCGGTTGTTTGCATTAGACACCGTTGAGAGCACCGTTGATCTTGTACTTAATGGTCAACAACTGAATTCGCACTTTATGGGCAATCATTGGGACTTTGAGGCCAAGAAATCATTTTTGTTAGCTGAGGTTGTTACATTGGAGGCACCCAATGCAAAGAAAGTAGGAAATAAGAAGGCTCCCAAAAATCCAACTGCTCCAAAAAATCCCATAAAACCACCAGCTCCTAAAAAACCAGCTGCCCCCAAAAAGCCAAGTGCTCCTAGAAAACCCCAAAACCCACCAGCTCCGAAAAGGCCAAGTGCTACTAGTAAGAAGGCAGCAACAAACACTTCTGTAGAATGCAGTGCTAGCTCATCTATGGTTGTTGATAATTCAAACTTGTCAGCTTTTGAGTTGGCACAGACAATGGGGAGTTAGTATAGAGTTTTTCCAGATGATATGGAGTTTTCACTGGATGATGTTGACCACCCAGCTACAATGCAATTTCAAAGTGTTTGTGATGTGGTTGATAGTAGTGAGAGATGTGAGTCCTCTGTGCTTACTCAGGAAGAACCACCCATAGATTGGAGCTTGATTGAGATAGCTCCACCCATATGTGATGACAATATGTGCGATCCTCTTGGTATCAACGATGTCGACATTTCCATAACCGAAGAGAATATGTGTGATATTCTTGGTACCAACGACGAGGCGTTCCCCGAGCCACCACCTTCTCCACCTAGTGAGGAAGTTTACATGACTGATGAGGAGGATCGTCAACTTTTCATTGAGGCTGCCATTCCTATTGATGATAGTGTGCCACCAGAGGAGGAGATTGCATATGACAAAGAGAACTCGCAGATGTATCTTGGTGCTTTGTTTCCTTCAATGAAAGATTTTAGGATGGCTATCAGACAATATGCAATTAAAAGGGAAATTTACATTTGGGGATATAAGACTGATAAGAAAAGGTATCTTGGCAAATGTAGAGCCAAGGGTTGTCCATGGAGGATTACAGTTAGAATAAGGACTGATGGACAAAGCATAAGGGTACTAACGTTTTATTTAAGCATTGTTATTGTTGCTGTTTTTTCTATGTTTTTCATAAGTTTTTCCTATGTTGTGATGTGTTTCATCTTGTATTGCAGGTTACCAAGATTTCCGTGAAGCACAAGTGCTCCTCTACCGGTAGAATAAAAAGCAGCATGACATCTCAAGGATGGGTAGCACAAAGGACTGTACCCATTATACAGAGTGACCCTACTATTGGATGCAAAGAGCTGTTGGGTCATTTGGAAGATACATATGGCACAACCATTGAGTATCATACAGTGTGGCAAGGCAAAGATAGAGCACAGAAAGAGATATATGGTTGCATGAGGCAGAGTTTTCAATATTTGTTTAAGTTCAAAGCAGAAGTTGAGAAGAGATCCCCAGGCAGCATTGTAGAGGTGGATATGAAGATGGTTCACGGTATTGTTTGCTTTAACTGATTCTTTATGGCTCTTAAACCTTGCATTGATGGCTTTAAAGCTGGTTGTAGACCATATCTCAGTATAGATTCAACTGCACTCACCGGTAAATGGAGAGGTCACTTAGCAGCTTGTACAGCATTAGATGGGCATAATTGGATGTATCCTCTAGCATTTGCATTCATTGATGGTGAAACTGATGAAAATTGGACATGGTTCATGTCACAACTAAATAGGGCATTAGGTCCTATTTCCCCTCTAGCTATATGCACAGATGCATGTAAAGGTTTAGAGAATGCAGTCAAAAAAATATTCCCTCATGCAGATCAAAGAGAGTGTTTTAGGCATCTCATGGCTAACTTCTCTAAAAAGTTCCAAGGAGATGTGTTTGGCAGAATGTGGCCAACTGCTAGGGCATATAGGCCACAAGTTTTTAACTACCACATGAATAAAATCCTAGCAGAAGCACCTGATGTGCATGAGTATCTCTCAAGGTACCATAGCTTAAAATGGATGAGATGCATGTTTGAACCCTCAATTAAATGTGATTACATCAATAATAACCTTGCCGAGTCTTTTAATGGTTGGATTAAAGATTACAAAGAGTTGCCACCTGATGAGCTAGCTGACACTCTTAGAGAGCTAGTCATGAAACTTCCTGAGAAAAGGAGAAAGATTGGAATGAAACTGAAAGGAAAAATTATTCCAGCCATCATCCAACAGATTCATAATAGGACAAGGGGACTTAAACATTTGAAAGTTGGGAAATCTGGAGTTGCAAGTTGTGAGGTGAGGGATACAAGTAAATACAACTTGCGACATGTTGTGAAAACTGCCCAAAGCGAGTGCACGTGCTTGGAGTGGCAGCACACAGGGAAGCCTTGTGAGCATGCACTTGCTTTCTTGCCGGATAGAAGGAACCCCAAATGGGAGGACTACGTGCATGACTATTTCTCTCTAGAGAAGTTTAGGGCGGCATATGCTGGAGAGGTTGAGCCATTGACAGATAGGTCTCAATGGCCACATGTACAATTTCCATTTGACATGGAGGCTCCATTAGACAAGAAAAGAGGTGTTGGAAGGCCTAGAAAAAACAGGTACAAGATCTTCCTCGAAGGTGGAGATGGTGGTCCTAAAAAGAAGAAAGAACCAAAATAGCTAGGCAGCAAGAATAGATGCAAAAGATGCCACATTTTAGGCCATAGGCAGTCCACATGTCCGCTGAATGGACCAAGGCCAAGGTACGTGTGATGATTTATGTTTATTCATCACTTGTAATGATCAATGTTTATTTCATCACTTATTTTACTATGTACTACCTTGTGAAGGAAAAGAAAGAAGAGAGCACCAAGATATCCAGTTGATGATGATGCCTCAGCACCGGAACCTGAAGTGGCAGCCCAGCAACCTGAAGTTGTTGTCACTCCCAATAGGCACATGATCACCATGCCACAAAGTCTTCAAGGCAGTCCCAATCCAGTGACAAGAAGGTAACACATCCACATACTACAACAATGTCTATTTTAACTTGCACTCATTACATTTCTCGATACATGCAACATGTTGGCTTCGGCGTTGGCTGATGAGGCAACACATGTAGCACCACAACTTGATGTGGCTGTCACTCCAACCAGGCACATGCTCACTATGCCACAGAGTCTACAAGGAAGTCCCAATCCAGTCACAAGAAGGATGTTGGCCATGGCATTGGCTGATGAGGCGTCGCAGCAACCTACCCCAACCGTGGAGGACACCATGATAGCATATGACATGGCCTCAAGCTCGAAAGCTAGAAAGTTGACCCCGAAGAGAAGGAAGTACTAGTGTTGTGCTTATCTTCTCTATGCTTTTGGTTGTAATATGGCAAACTTAGCATCCTTTACTTTGGATGTAACATGGCAGCAACTATTGTGTTATGCTTTTGGTTGTAACATGGCAGTTACAATGGCCTTCTGCTTTTGGTTGTAAAACATGGCAGAAATTATGGCCTTATGGTAGATGGTGTATGATCATGTTAACTGCTTTATTTCACTATATTGTCTTGATATTGTGTCATGGTGTATGAATATGTTCATTTGGAAATATATGTTTGAAGTTTCTATTCTGTGCATACATATCTTGAAAAGTGAAATAACAGGCAAAATGCTGTCCAAATTGAGCCAATATGCTGCCCAAAATTTGAACTTTTTTTCGAACAACCCAAAAAAAATTACAGTAAATCATTCATATATGTTTGACTAATCTGAGAAAAAGTTTCATGCAATTTGGATCATTGGTTCAACGGGAAAATGCATCTCAACTTTCAGATTAACTAGTTTGACCACATTTTGACCGAAATTAAAAAGTTATCAGAAAAAATTGAAAAAAATACAATAAATCATTCATATATGTGTGACTAATCTGAGAAAGTTTCATGCAATTTGGATCATTGGTTCAACGAATCTATGCATTTCAACTAGTTTGAGCAAATTTGGACCAAAACTTGATGAGGAGCAGCAGGGGAAGAAGACACCAGTGGTAGGGGCAGCAGCGGCAGGGTAGAAGTTTCATGAGGGGAGCAAGAGGGGGCGGCAGCAGCAAGGCAGGAAGGACCGGCGAGGAGCAGCAGGAAGGTGCAGGAGAGGAGTGGAGTACGAGTTCATCCATCCCCCTGTGTTATGTTTGGATCAGAGAGGTATAAGGGTATAATAGTCCTCTATTTTCTTCACTTATGTTGTCTATTATTTACAAAGTTTGTTTTTGTGTTGAAAAGTGGCAAAAGATCAAAATCCAAACAAAGGAGTGTCACCAGATCAATTACAAAGTAAGGAGTGGCAAATTATCAAAGTCCAAACTAAAGAGTGGCAAAAAATCTAATCACCCCCTATATATAGTGCGGGGTGCGGTTCGGGTCAACCCTAATCCCTTCACTCCCCACCGCCGCCGCCCCTTTCTCCTCGCCACGGCCGCTCGCCGCTCGTCTTCCTCCCTGTGACCGCTCGCTGCTCGTGTTCCTCGCCGCGGCCGCTCGTGCTCCTCGCCGTGGCCGCTCGCCGCTCGTGCCCCTCGTCCGACGCCACATCGCTCTAGTCGCCGCAGTCCCCGGCGCGACCCCTTGCCTGACTTGCTCCGGTCGCCGCCTTCCTCCGCGTTCTTCACTCCAAGGTCGAGATGCCCAGGACCAAGCATTCCGTGCCCAAGCAGGTCACCGGTGGGCCATCTCGTATGTCTCATCGTGGTGGTTCCGATAACTTGCTACCTCTAGAGCACTGCGTTGGTTTTCCCTTGAAGAGGAAAGGGTGATGCGGCAAAGTACAATAAGTATTTCCCTCAGTTTTTGAGAACCAAGGTATCAATCCAGTAGGAGATCATGCTCAAGTCCCACGCACCTACACAAACAACTAAGAACCTCGCAACCAACACGATAAAGGGGTTGTCAAGCCCTTCACGGTCACTTACGAGAGTGAGATCTGATAGATATGATAAGATAATATTTTTGGTATTTTTATGATAAAGAGAAATAAAGATGCAAAGTAAAATAAACGGCAAAGGAAATAACTAAGTGTTGGAAGATTAATATGATGGAAGATAGACCCGGAGGCCATAGGTTTCACTAGTGGCTTCTCTCAAGAGCATAAGTATTATGGTGGGTAAACGAATTACTGTCGAGCAATTGATAGAATTGAGCATAGTTATGAGAATATCTAGGTATGATCATGTATATAGGCATCACGTCCAAGACAAGTAGACCGAAACGATTCTGCATCTACTACTATTACTCCACACATCAACCGCTATCCAGCATGCATCTAGAGTATTAAGTTCATAAGAACAAAGTAATGCTTTAAGGAAGATGACATGATGTAGAGGGATAAACTCATGCAATATGATATAAACCCCATCTTTTTATCCTTGATGGCAACAATACAATACGTGCCTTGCTGCCCCTGCTGTCACTGGGAAAGGACACCGCAAGATCGAACCCAAAGCTAAGCACTTCTCCCATTGCAAGAAAGATCAATCTAGTAGGCCAAACCAAACTGATAATTCAAAGAGACTTGCAAAGATAAACCAATCATACATAAAATAATTCAAAGGAGATTCAAATATTGTTCATAGATAAACTTGATCATAAACCCACAATTCATCGGATCTCGACAAACACACCGCAAAAGAAGATTACATCGAATATATCTCCAAGAAGATCGAGGAGAACTTTGTATTGAGATCCAAAGAGAGAGAAGAATCCATCTAGCTAATAACTATCGACCCGTAGGTCTGAAGTAAACTACTCACACATCACCGGAGAGGCCATGGAGTTGATGTAGAGGCCCTCCGTGATCAATGCCCCCTCTGATGGAGCTCCGGAAAAGGCCCCAAGATGGGATCTCTCGGGTACAGAAGGTTGCGGTGGTGGAATTAGGTTTTCATGGTGCTCCTAGATGTTTGGGGGTACGTGGATATATATAGGAGGAAGAAGTACGTCGGTGGAGCAATGGAGGGCCCACGAGGGTGGAGGGCGCGCCCAGGGAGGGTAGGCGCGCCCCCTGCCTCGTGCCTTCCTCGGTTGTTTCTTGACGCCCACTCCAAGTCTCCTAGATCACGTTTTTTGAGAAAAATCACGTTCCCGAAGGTTTCATTCCGTTTGGACTCCGTTTGATATTCCTTTTCTTCAAAACCCTAAAATAGGCAAAAAAAAACAGCAATTTGGGCTGGGCCTCCGGTTCGTAGGTTAGTCCCCAAAATAATATAGAAGTGTAAAATAAAGCCCATTAATATCCAAAATAGATAATATAATAACATGGAGAAATTAAAAATTATAGATACGTTGGAGACGTATCAAGCATCCCCAAGCTTAATTCCTGCTCGTCCTCGAGTAGGTAAATGATAAAAGAAGAATTTTTGATGTGGAATGCTTTCTAACATATTTCTCAACGTAATTTTCCTTTATTGTGACATGAATGTTAAGATCTGAAAGACTCAAGATAAAAGTTTAATATTGACACAAAAATAATAATACTTCAAGCATACTAACTAAGCAATCATGTCTTCTCCAAATAACATGGCCTAAGAAAGTTATCCCTACAAAATCATATAGTCTGGCTATGCTCTATCTTCACCACACAAAATATTTAAATCATGCACAACCCCGATGACAAGCCAAGCAATTGTTTCATACTTTTGATGTTCTCAAACTTTTTCAATCTTCACACAATATATGAGCGTGAGCCATGGATATAGCACTATGGTGGAATAGAATGGTGGTTGTGGATAAGACAAAAAGGAGAAGATAGTCTCACATCAACTAGGCGTATCAACGGGCTATGGAGATGCCCATCAATAGATATCAATGTGAGTGAGTAGGGATTGCCATGCAATGGGTGCACTAGAGCTACAAGTATATGAAAGCTCAACAAAATAAACTAAGTGGGTGTGCATCCAACTTGCTTTCTCACGAAGACCTAGGGCATTTTGAGGAATCCCATCATTCGAATATACAAGCCAAGTTCTATAATGAAAATTTTCCACTACTATATGAAAGTGATATCATAGGAGACTCTCTATCATGAAGATCATGGTGCTACTTTGAAGCACAAGTGTGGAAAAAAGATAGTAGCATTGTCCCTTCTCTCTTTTTCTCTCATTTTTTTATTTGGGCCTTCTTTCTTTTTCTTTTTCTTTTTGGCCTCTTTTCTCCTTTTTTTATTTTTTCCGTCCGGAGTCTCATCCCGACTTGTGGGGGAATCAAAGTCTCCATCATCCGTTCCTCACTTGGGACAATGCTCTAATAATGATGATCATCACACTTTATTTACTTACAACTGAAGAATTACAACTCGATACTTAGAACAAAATATGACTCTATGTGAATGCATCCGGCGGTGTACCGGGATGAGCAATGATGCATGAGTGACATGTAGGAATAATTATGAACGGTGGCTTTGCCACAAATACGATGTCAACTACATGATCATGCAAGCAATATGACAATGATGAAGCATGTCATAATAACGGAACGGTGGAAAGTTGAATGGCAATATATCTCGGAATGGCTATGGTAATGCCATAATAGGTAGGTATGGTGGCTGTTTTGAGGAAGGTATATGGTGGGTGTATGGTACCGGCGAAAGTTGCGCGATATTAGAGAGGCTAGCAATGGTGGAAGGGTGAGAGTGCGT